TGACTGCATAGGGAGGTGAGGTGCTGTGAATTCCTGGGTTCACTGGGGACTCCAGTTCTACAATTCCTTGCAAAGGGCTTTTTAAATTCAGCTATGGGCCACATGGGATTTGACCAAAGGTCTCAGAAAGAGAAATTCTGCAATATGTTATCTCTGCATTTGTTATCTCACCCAAATGCAAACATATGCATGCCATGTCATGCATACTGCTTCCATAGCCAGTATGGCATCTGTATGTTTGCATTTGGGTGAGATAACAAATGCAGTTAATAAGAACAGACTGAACAGCAGCCATGCATTGTTGAGAAAGTCAGTCTTAAAAATTGTAGGAGCAGAGAGATGATGTGATGCTTTGTGATAGACAACAGAACCTATGGTTGAGCTGTGGCATTAGCCCCTCCCTCCCTCACATAGTTCTATGGCTTACCATACTCTCATTGACATACAGTACATACTGGTTGATGGGCAAAGAACTTCTCACCTAAGTTGGGTGCAGAGCCACAGTGTAAGCCCTAGCAGGTGTAGTTAACATGCTGATGATATAATACCACAGATAGTTGTAGCGCCTTCTGATACTGAGAAGTTGCAAGGTAGAGGCTTTTGCTGTGTGTTTCCACTGAGACATGTTGGAGGAATCAGTTGTCTGTGGGTGTGTGAAGAAAGGCTTGCTGATCAAGTGGATTAGCTGTGGACATTCAGTGTGTCGGAAGCTTTTAGTGTAGTGCCATTCCAGTTAAAAAGTAATGGGAAAAAGAATTCACGTTCAGCACAAAAACTCAGCAAAAGATCATTTCTGTGGTTCCCTCCATATTTGTAAATGGATTTTTTAAATGTACAGTAGTTGATTTCTGAGGTGGTTTAAGCAGTGGATATTAACCACCATCAAAATCTTTAAATTTAGTGCTAATTAACTAAAGGACTACAATCCAGAAGGAAAGATTATTTTAAAGTGGTTAAAAGTGTTATAAAGTGGTTCTTCAAGAATTCCTTCAAGATTTTTGAAATATTTTTTGATTGATTTCTTTAAAATATGCTGATTTCTAAAGAAAGAAAGAAAGAAAAAGCGATGGTGTGGACAGAAATCCCATTAAGGTCTATGCTTAAGTGGCATTAACTTGACCTGTGTGTGACACAAAGCCAAACAAATCTAGCTCCATGCCCTGTCATTGAGCTATTGTCTCCCTGTGAGGTTTATGTTGTGCTGGCAGTATAGCTACACTGATACTGTATATCAGGCTTCCACTGTTTCTTAATGCCGCTTAGCTAGTGGATCCAGACTGCAGTATCGAGTCCTTCGTTTATCTCCTGAATTTGCTGCTTCCCTAAATATAGTGTAATCACATGAGCTTGGAATAGAAAAGAGAGAATGCTCTAGCCAAAGTAGGTGGAATCACCCTGACGTTTACTCATTTCCTGCCTTCCTTCTGTCCTAGGCCCACGTGTGGCTGCCTTGTGAATCCTCTTTCTGACAGAAGTTTGAAAAGTTGCTACATTTTAATTTCTTTTAATGTGCCTGAATGCTAGTTCTAAAAATATATGAGCTTAGACTCTTGTGACATGTTTCTTAAATAGTTAATTAAAGACAATTTATCAGGAGATGATTGTCATTGCAGCAGCTGGGGTTTGCACATCACAGTTAGACACAGAAAAAAAGGTTTGATGTACTGTATGTTTAGCTTCCATTTGCTAGCAGACACTGAGGGGGTTACAGAATTTTCCAATCTAGACTGTTCTGTTATTTAACTTTCCAACCAAGTTGGCACTTTTTGTAGAGGAGGGTAGAGAGGGTATGAATGTCTGCCTGTGTTTGTAGAGTTGTGTGCCTGTGTGTAGGTGGAGGAGGTGAGGGTGAAAGGCAGGAAGAACATGAGGGTGAAAGCATGCTTGTGTATCCTCAGGCCAAATAAAACTGGCAGAGCTCTTCACCCACATCTAGACTCAGCCGTTGTATGTTTGTCTTCTCAAGGCAGGCATGAGCTCCTGGTTACACCTAGTATGTGTCCATGCACGTCTCGAACAAATACAGATCCCACAGGTAGTTCAGAAAAGTAACTTGTCCATACTCTTATTTCTAGTCTAGTTTGGATTCCATTTTAATCATGCCACAAATTATACAGATGGCAAAATCTGGGCTTGCTGCTGTGTTTTCTCTTCAGGGAGTTTGCAAAACGTGGATTTGTGAGAAAGATATCTATACGGTATTAATAATATACGTGTCTATGTCACAGAAATTATTTTGTTCATTCACACATTGTGATTGAATAGTACCATAAACAAAATCTGATATTCAACTTTAACTGCCCTCCCCACAAGTTATGAAGCTTCCCTGAGCTTTAACTGTGGAAAAGGCCATTCGGGCAGTATGGCTAATTAGGAGACAATCTACAAATGTCCGATGAGGAATGGGAAGCTAATTCAAGGAGAGCCATCTTTTTCTCTGTCTGTTGAAGAGTTTGGCAGTTTTCTGAAGAAAAAGGAAGGAATGCCAGTGCGAGATGTTTCCAGGAGAGAAGCAAAGATCTTTCTGTGTATTGCTGTGTGCAAAGATCTTCATGCACTGAACAGTTGGAACAGGGATGGACAAATTCAGTAGGTCTCACCATGACTGACAGTGAGCTGTACCCCACTGCCCACAAACTGCCAAAATTTGGGGCCAACAGGGGAATAACATTTAAAAGTCAGCATTTTGTTTTCTCCCTGCTTTAATGCATTGCAGTGAGTTTCAGTAGCAATGGGAAGAGGTAAGCATGAAGTTTTCCCTGAGTCTCTGGCAAACCATTACAGACCGTTTAACGCAAACAATGATTGCTTTCAATGCCCCCACCAAACTTGTTGCAAAAACTCAGCTGCTTTACCACTTCAGCTTAATAGTAGAATTTTCAAGGGTCATTTCAAGGGCCACCAAACCAGCCCGGGGAGGTGGTGGTGCTTGTGTGATCCAAATACTACACTTTTCTGATCTCTGCTTTTGAACGTTGAGGTAGAAGACTTCAAGAAACGTCATCCTTTTCCTTCAGTTATGTGAAACAATATCCATTTCTTGCTCCTGTGCTGAGACTATCAACTCAATCAGCCAAAGTCACAATTTTCCATCTTTCTTTTTCGTGAGATTAGGAAACTATTATTATCTGTAGATAAATCTGTCACCTTTTAAATAGAGTTCAAAGTAGCTGAAGTGCGGTTTCAATTCTCCTTGCAAGTATATTTTTTGTTCCACCATTGCTTCTGCCCAAATAGGTTTTACAAAGTCATGAACTGGAACACTTGGTACGTTGTGCCGAGGTTCACCTATTCTACTCCAGGATTGAATTTTTTTTGAAAACTTATTTTGCCAGCTTTTAATTAGATATGCCTAGCACTGACTGGCCAGTGCCTTTGAGGTCACAGGCTCACTTCCCACACATTGCCAAGCCCAGTGTCATTTTGCAACTTGATTTGCTATTTGGGAAAGATAAAATGGTGAACAAAAATTATGCCAGGTGTAGGAAATCTTTGCCCCTTGGACATTTTTGTCTACACCTCCCACTGTCCCTTTCCGTTGACTATATAGGATGATGTTGATGGACATTATAGGCAAAACTTTCAGAAAACCAAAGGTTCCCTGGCTTACATGAATAAATGTTTATGCATTATCCTAGAGGAGAGAACTCAGAAGGTGGTGCTGATGGATTCCTCTTTGACACCCTGACCATTGGCCTGCAGGGCTCCTCAGGGTTCTGCTCTGTCTCCTATGTTATTTAACATCTGCTTGAAATTACTGGAAGAGGTTGTCTGGAGTTTTGAGGTCTGGTGTTACTAGTATGTGGATGATATCCAACTGTACCTTGCCATCTAATCCAAGGAAGCTATTTCAGCTCTAGATCAGTGTCTAGTACCAGTAATGGACAAGATGTGAGTGAATAAACTGAAATTTAATCCAGAAAAAATGGAGATGCTCCTGGGCAGTCGAAAGGCAAATCAAGGAATAGGTGTGCAGCCTGTGTGGATGGAGTTACCTTCCCTCTGAAAACATAGATGAGCTGCTATAACCGGGGGGGGGGATATCTGATCCCTCTAACCAGCCCCAGTCAGCAATCTGGCTGCTGCATTTTGGATCCGTTGAAGTTTCCTGAACTTTCATTCAGCAGCCCCGCATACAGTGCATTACAGTAATCCAGTTGGGAAGTAACTAGGGTGTGTATCACAGTGGCCAACTCAGATCTCTCAAGAAACTGATCTAGCTGGTGCACTAGTTTTAATTGTGCAAATTCACTCTTGGGCACCGGATGCCCAGCTTTCAATGGTGGCCAGGAGTGCATTTGCATAATTAAAACTATTGTGCCAGCTGCATCTTTTCCTGAAGAGGTCTGATCTGGCCACAGTGACTGGCTGCCTGAGGGGTATTTCTAAATGGATTGTTATGCATTACTGCTTTGACTGTATTTATAGTACAGTATTGCTGTTGTTTATCATTTCTCAAAGTTGTATTTGTTTGTTCCTTTTTAACATTTGTATACTTACTATTTGTAGCTTTAAATATAATCTTTCAATGATGTAAGCTGCCTTTGTATACTCATTGTTTTCAGCTTTAAATATTGCCTTTTAATGATGTAAGCTGCCTTGGGTCCTTTTTAAGGAGAAAGGCAGGGTATAAATATTTTAAATAGACAAATTACTTTAACAAATAGAATGCTTAAGGCAGAGAGCCTACCTGGAGCATGGAGAAAATGCAAAACAAGCAACTGGGTATTTCCTACTTTAATAGATGTATTGGCAGGTTATTCTTAGAGGGAAGAAGATACAGTGAGTCCTATTTAAATAGGTTTTATATGCTCCTAAATTGTTGAAATGATACAAAACCCTGTATGCCAGAAGTGGGAATCAGAGAAGCAGTGGTCCCTCTTTTAACCTCCCTTCACTGCTTGAGAAAGGTTAAAAAATGTCTCCAGCCTCAGATGTCCAGAGTTTATGTTAGCCAATCCCTTTTCTTCCATGTTGGGCTCTTTATTTCTTTCTTTCAGAAATGCGCTGGCAAATGGGGGAACAGGTCCGAGGCCTTGACTCTCAGGCTGAGAGTCGGCAACAGTTACTCCAAGATGTGGCTGACTTCCTGCGCCGGAAAGCTGAGGTGGAGCAGGAATATTCCCGAGGACTGGAGAAGCTCTCTGAACGCTTTTCAGCTAAGATTCGTGGATCCAAGGAGCACCAGAACTTCAGGTAGAAATATTAGATATTTCATAGGATGGATGGATGGGATGTTGGGAAAGTCTGAAATAAGTCTTTGGGGTTATGATGACTCAGAACACAAAAAACATATTAGGTCAGACCATTTGCTTATCAAGATCAGTATTGACCATGACTAGCGGCAGTTCTCTTTAGAAGTAGGGTTTTTCCCCCCAGCAGTTTCTGAAGATGCTGATGATTAAACTTGGGGTCTTCCAAAAGTAAAGCAGCTGTTTTAGCACCGAGCCTCAGAATTGATTTGAGACTGGGGAGCAAAAGCTGCAGAAAAGATTTGGGAAATTTCCAAACGATAAGTTTGTAGTCGCTGACGTTTGTAATTGTTAAAATCTTGCTGTAAGCAGATACGAGGGACCTTTTCTTGGCTGTGTCCAAGTTGTTAATGTATGTGTGTGTTTTAACGTGTTTTACAAACTCCTGCTAGGAAGCCAGGTGATGGAGGAAGCATGAATGGGAGAAAGGCAAGGGAGAGAAGCAGGCTGCTAGTGGGGATAGGCAAAGGGCAGGGTGTATTCCTGGCTCTATGGATTTGTAGAACTCCTCGTTAACTCTCTTTTTATGGTGATCCCCCCTCCCCCCCGACCCTGTTTAACTATTAGGTATCTCCACAGCCAGTATGTGTATTTTTAGTTAGTAAGTTGCTGTACTGGTATGTTGGTTCAATACTACCACAGCAACAAAATCCTTTGAGAAAAACGGAGGTGGAGCATCAATGCTTTGATCTTAAGTAGTAGTTCATAGCAGGCTCTTGTTGAACAGGGGTTGCATGATGGCCAGAACCCATCACTATGGCTATGGAAAAGAAAGTGGAACTACAATGTAGAAAACAAGTTTTGCAATATTTAGTACTGAGTGGCAGAAATCCAGTAGTAAGTTGAATCAATCAACAAAATTCTCACTGATTCAATGGGTCTACTCTAGTTGTCACGTATGGCTGGATTTCAGCCAATGTAAGGTAATACTTTTGTTCAAAAGTCATTTTTTAAAAATCCAGAAATTCATTAACAGCACATGTGAACATCAATTAAAAGTTTCATTCCATAACAAATTATGGAATTCAGAGGTTAATAGGCTGTTGACACCACATTTAATAAAAGGATGCCTTAATAAAGTAATGCTTGTTAACTTCACACTGTGCACAGTGGGAAGGAGTGAGATCGGTTAAACTTCAAATGCTTTATCCTTGATCAGCTTTACATTTGTTTAACTGCCCAGGGTCCTTCCAGGGACCCTGTAATTTCCTGTAGTTTCATGAGAGTGCTGAGGATTCGGCTATTGATTCCTAAGTGCTCTTGGATTGGAAATGGACTGCCAAACTAGTAATGGACTGTGGAGTGAATGTGTCGAAGGAGGGATTGTCATCATTTAATTATGTGAAATGTATGCATGGTGTGACTGAGCCAATGATCAGAGGTGACATAATAAACCTATTTTCACAATTGTGAAGTACATCCCTTAAATATTATCAGAAGTGCCCTTGGACACCAGGAGACCTTTATGATTTGTTGATTATATAAGCCATTTTCAATTAGAACACACATAGATCCCCTTTTTCCAAGTGGCCTTCCAGAAATGGATTGAAAATGAAAATACTGTATCTCCTTAGTGAAAAAGATTAGATATAAAATATAGAATACTACTCAAAAGAGCTTCCAGGTTGGATTTAGGAACTGAGGTTTGAAGGCAAAGGCAAACAATGAGTGAGTGAGTGAGTGAGTGAGTGTGTGTGTGTGTGTGTGTGAGAGAGAGAGAGAGAGAGAGAGAAGAAAACAATAGACAAATGATAAAAGTGACTAGTTCATCTAGTCAGACTGTCCTTGTTTCCCTGCAGGAAGGACCAGAACCTCCCATCACCTTTAAACTGCTGGTACACAATCCTTAACCAGACGCGGCAGGCAAGCCGGGATCATGGTGCGCTGAGTGAAATCTACACAGGCCACTTGGCATTGCGCTTGATGCATATCAGTGATGATGTGGGTCGACTTGCTCGTAAAGTAAGTGCCTTAGGAGGGGTGTGTGTGTGTGAGTGTGTGTGTGTTGGGGGAGATTTCTGATGGGGCTTCCTTGACAAAGCTCCCAAAGAGGGCTTTTGCCCAACAGTTTTGGTATGAAATAGCCTTTGCCGCTTCTTTTGCTTCTGTCAAAGCCCCAACTTTGCCTTCCACCAAGTCTAAAATGGAAACACAACTGAAAGAAATCTTCTTTTACTTCCCCAGAGCTCAAAAAAATTAGCTTTTTGGATTCCACCTCCCATAATCCTCTGCTCCAGGATGCTGCCAGATTGTTGGGTTTCAGGGAGTTATAGCAGAAAAAAAATACAGTACACATAAAAATCCAACAATCCTATTTTCTATTCTCTCATGCTTCCCAAGTTCTTCCATGTCGGTACAGAAGTGGATGGGAACCACTCCTGTGGTTGCTAAGCAACCGTGGAAAATGTCTCCCTTACTTAGTCCTTAAGCTGGCAAAATATTGGCTGGTGGTCTAACACACAGTCATAATGAAGTTGAGGAACTAATTAAATGGTATATATGTTTGTGGGAACAGGCATAGAGTTATAGAGAAAGGAGCAGTATCTCCTTGGCTCAATACAGTACAGTGGTGCCTCGCTTAGCGATGTTAATTCATTCCAAAAAAATCGCTGCTAAACGAAAACATCGCTAAGTGAAATAAAAAAGCCGATAGAAACACATTAAAATGCGATTAATGTGTTCCTATGGGCTTAAAACTCACCTTTAAGTGAAGATCCTCCATAGCGCCCCCTTTTTCGGTGCCTCTTAAGCGAGGAATCCGTGCCTGAAAACAGCGAGTGGCCATTTTGTTTACCTGGCGGCCATTTTGAAACCGCCGATCAGCTGGCCGAAAATGGGGGCTTTGTGATGATCGCAGGGAAGTGATCATCGCAAAGCAAAATTCCCCCATAGGGACCATTGCAAAGTGATTGCTTTTGCGATCGCAAAAAATGTGTCGCTAAGCGATTTTGCCATAAAACGGAGCGATCGCTATGCGAGGCACCACTGTATGTTCTTTCCATCTAGGCTTTGCTAGAGAAGTATGTGGAGTGCCTGCCTGCTTGATAGACTATCTGAACTCTCATTTACACCCTCCAAAGTTCAGGACCACTGACAGTTCTTTCAACATCCTCTCCACCCCAGAATTTAGAAAAATTACTTTATTGGACTACAATTCCAAGAAGACCTCAGCCAACATAAATGCTGACCATTTCTTCTTGGGAGGGATTTTGATAATAACTGCCCCCCAAATAGTTTTTTTTCCACCTTCTGCTCTGCTCTCATCCTCTAGCATGGGGATTTAGGAGAGGGGATTTTAGGAAGTGAGATTGGGAGACTGTGGCCCTATATATGGGACATTATGGGATAAGGGAGGTTGCAGAGTGAATTGAAGTCCTGCACTCTCTCCACTGGGAATCTACTGGAAACCTTGCAAGGTTTAGATGTTTGCTAATCATTAGTACCACACTTGTAAACCTTTTTCCATGATTGTTAAGGACATAAACTTGTTTTGTACTAAAACACATGAGATTCAACATGCTTCAATACAAATTCCTTAATTTTTCCTGCATTTTTTTGTAAAATTGCTGAATATACACAGCCCTGGAAAGCTCTTTCTTACAATATTTTCCTTTTTCTCCCTGGTCAGAGCAAAGAGATGGAACAGCAAATGCAGGATGAGTTACTGAAGGCAATTTCAGAGATGCAGACAGTAAGTGGAAAGCAAGGTCCAAACCTTAAGACCACTATTCCTGTAGCTGCTAGCAGGACATGTCAGCGACCCCTGTGGTTGAATGACCTGATTTCTTTGCAACACTGGGAATATATGGACTATGGAATGTTATTAAATATTGTACTTTAGAAATAGATTCAGATTTCTAATGCAAAATCTCTGTATTTTTTCTCTCTCAAGAATACTACTGTTCTGTCAATGTAGTCACATTCCAATCAGTAAATTGGATAATAGTTATCAACCTGAGATTAAAATGTTTAATTGTATTTGAATGATCAAATTTCACCCATATGGCCTCTCATTTTTAGTGAATTATCTTGAAATGCCACTGTAATTTCTTATGTATTCTCTTCTGACCTGACCGTGAGCTGCTCTGAAGCCTGATGCATCACAGAAGAGCAGGCTACAGATAAAGTGATGGTGGTATTTTTTGTGTGCTGCCACTTTCAAAATACAAGCCCAAAGGCCCTGAGTGCTAACTTGTCTTTTTTCCTTTTCAATATCATTTTTATTTAATTTGAACATATAAATCTAGCAGCTACAAACAAATATGCAATATAAGATTAAATATATGAATCTGGCAACTACAAACAAATATGCAATATAAGATTAAAAAAAGAAAGGAAAAAAAAGGTCTTGTGGGAGAAATAGAAGGAAATGCTTTCAGTTTTGGACAGAAAGTAACAGTAGAAGCAGTTGAGGCCTGTTTGACCTCAGAGGCTAGAACAATCCGAAGATTTCAGTCATGTTTTCAGTTCCTTTAAAGTCAGAAGTTTTATTAGATAATCTTAGATGAAGACATCTGTGTGCAGCGCCTTTTCTCAGTATTCAGAAATGATTATTTTGTGACCAGGCTGAGCACGTACTATGACATTCCAGCCTTAGAAGATCAGGTTCCTAGTTGAAATCATGTCATTTGACCACATATATCATTAGAGTGATGCTGATTCATACTAGGGTGAGAATGTGATGCTTCAGTGATGCTGTTGCAGCAGCAGCAGCATGTACTGTGGTCATGCAGGCGAGTGTTACAGAAAACTCTTGTTCGTCCTTCATGTCCTCTGTGAATCACATATATAGGTTTTGTGTGTGTGCAGAGCTATCATCAGAACAGCTCTGGAGAAAGTTTTCATATGCAGCCACTCTTGAGGAGCTCCCTGAATTATTTTCTTTTGTTTGAACCACAGTGTTTTAGGAATGCAATCCTCACTATTGCCTTTTCCCTTTGCCGAGTTCTCTCTTTTCTTCTACACAGTCTTTTCTTTGGCATTATATTATTCCTGTTAATTATGTATATGTATTAAATGTTGTAAGCCGCCCAGAGAACTT